TACTAAATTCTAGAGGTTGTGCCAGTTAATAAAATAGGCAATTCCTGCACCCACGGAACATACCACTGTCTAGAAAAGGGAAGACAAGTATTTTGAGATGCAATTAGTGAAAAGACAATTATGGTAAGTGCTTCAAAGGTTAACACTTTAGCATACAGAGCATATCTGCCCAAGTCTGGGAGCTCAGAAAAAGTGTCCTTGGGAAAATGACATTTAAGCTCGGACAAGAAAGAGGAGTAGGAGTTGCCTAAAAAAAGATGGAGGAAGGAGAACGTGCTAAAGCCATGAGACGGTCCATTGCAGTGGCCAAAGCATAACGAGCCGGAGTAAAGTGAAATTAGGGTGGATTGGAGGGGCAACTTCTTAGGCTCTTAAAAGCCAAATAAAAACAAACAAGCAGCCATTGAAGATTTCACTGAAGACAAAGAGGTATTTAGGCTTACACTTTAAGATACACTCCAGCTATTCTGTAGAAAATGGAAGGGAGGAGATGGATAAGGTGAACCATGAAAAGGAAGACCTAGTGGTAGATTATGATAATGGCCCACATATTCAGGGATAAATTTCCCAAATAGTAAAGTCATGACTCTCAAACAAATGTATTATTACAGTACATTAAAGGCTTTAACTCATTAAGCAATCAGGAAACCCATAAGGTATTACAACTGGTTCAAAGAAAAATTTTTAAAACCACATGTTAAATGCAATAAAGGAAAGCTGAAATAAATTGACAACAGATGCAAAACCTAGTCCACCCAAGGGGAAATAATCAACTGCATTCCAGCCACTCTGCATTTTTATGGATAAGAATCATCTCCATTACTATCCATTTTCTACAACTCACTGAGCTGTACAGTAGCTCAAAGATGATGGAAGGCAGATACAGCACATGGCTGAGCTGACAGGATTCCCACAGATTTTCTGCCCATCATAAAGGCTTTTAATTATTCTTAACTCAGATAAAAATGACTTGGCAAAAGGGGGTGTCAAGTGTCAAGAAAGATGGAGGAAAATGGACAATGTTGAATGTATATGGTACTAGAATCAAGATTTGGCATTTGAGACTTTGGTCGGAGTAGGGGGATGCTCAAGAAGGAGACGTCCAGGGAAGGAATTTAAAACAAATTCCTAAATGGCAGAAGATGCCATAAGGGTCTACTTGGATTTCTCAGCACAAGGACACTATTGCTCTGTAAAGAGACTCACATTGCACAGAAAAAGTAGACTTGATCAATAATTACATTTTAGAGTCCACCACAATATACCAAAGGACATGGATAAAAAAGAAATGAAATAAAATCCGCTCCCTTCAATAGCACTTTTTTTTCCCTTGCTAACCTCTGGATTACCTAGTGACACCATGCCCAATTACAACCTGATCCCAACTCAGCAAGAATCTGTGGGGAGTTTATGGAAATCTTCTAGTTCAGAACTTTTATTCCCTTTTCTGATCATCAGCGTGGAAGCAGCCCGATTTACAGAATTAAAACAACCAGAAGAAAGGAAACAGTGTGCTTGAAATTTAGTGTGACAGTTGTGAGCTCTCCTCTTTATATCCAAATAATCATAAATCCTTTGATAACTGTGTTCTAGGTTCCTCCAGATTTCCTTCTAGACTTCGATTTCTTACCAGAAGTAATCGGAAAGGAAATGTTTCCAGGGGCAGCTCTACTTTGATATTTTTCTCCAAACAATCTTTTAATAGTAGCCATAATAAAAAAAACTGTTCTTGAAAAAAAAAAAACTAATAGTGGTCTTAACAAAAATTGTTCTTGAAAATGATAACAAGCTTTTAGCTTTCATGTCAGTCTACATAATTGGACCTTTTACTACAACTGATAATGTTACTTAATCATTTCATTGTCTTTCTAATAATTACAAGCTTCCTGGGGCAAAGAATTTACATGGGACTTAAAGCCTTCATTTAATATTACAAAATAATATATACATTATAAATGTATACATTTAATTATCAAGTTCAGTAAATAAACTATTCTAGAACTACTGGACTTTGTGTTCAGATCTTTTTAAAGGTATCAGTGCTGTGCTATGCTTAGTTACTCAGTTGTATCCAACTCTTTGAGACCTCATGGACTGTAGTCCACCAGGTTCCTCTGTCCAAGGGATTCCCCAGGCAAGAATACTGGAGTGGGTTGCCACGGCCTCCTCTAGGGGATCTTCCCAACTCAGGGATCAAACCCAGGTCTCCAGCATTGCAGGAGGATTCTTTACCATCTAAGCCACCAGGGACGCCTAAAGATCAGTGACCCATGATAAATACTGAGTTACTTCTTGAAAGAATTCAGAGGGGTATATGACCCACATGATCCGTAAATACTGAGAACCATCCAGTGAAGAAGTCCCAGGACAATGACAGAAGTGAGGATCTTTTTAAAGCTCAGAGTGAAGCAGTACTTGGGCAGCACGGGTTCAAGGGTGTAACCTTGCATGTATCAGCCACGGCTATGGACCTGGAAAGGACATGGATCTGCCGCGTGATGCCCCAGTTCAATGATCTATCATGTGCCGTTAAGGGAATGTCTTGTCTGGGTCAGATTCATGGCAATAATGATGAGGTTAAACATTTTCAGTTATTCTTGCTCAACTGTCATCTCTATTCTACTTTTCCTCTTTTTGCATCCTACTGTACTATCTACATCTCTCTAGTAATTCACAGGAACAAAAGTAATTCACCTAGTTTCAAATGTTACCTAAATGCAAACCTATTTACACTACAAAGTTTCAAATCAATCTTCAAAATCAGCTCTAAGGTGATTCTTCCACAATGACTCAAGCTTCTAAAAATGAGGTCTGCTTAACTTGCTCTGTCTAGAAAAGGACCATATTAACCTCAGTAATAGTCAAAATAGAGAATCTCACACAACTGAGCACTCATGAGACCCTTGGGATCAAGTATCTCCTGTATAGACTCTCTTCATTCCTAAAACCAGAATCTGGCCCAGAATCTGGTCCTCAGACAATGACAGAAGTGAGGATCTTTTTAAAGCTCAGAGTGAAGCAGTACTTGGGCAGCACGGGTTCAAGGGTGTAACCTTGCATGTATCAGCCACGGCTATGGACCTGGAAAGGACATGGATCTGCCGCGTGATGCCCCAGTTCAATGATCTATCATGTGCCGTTAAGGGAATGTCTTGTCTGGGTCAGATTCATGGCAATAATGATGAGGTTAAACATTTTCAGTTATTCTTGCTCAACTGTCATCTCTATTCTACTTTTCCTCTTTTTGCATCCTACTGTACTATCTACATCTCTCTAGTAATTCACAGGAACAAAAGTAATTCACCTAGTTTCAAATGTTACCTAAATGCAAACCTATTTACACTACAAAGTTTCAAATCAATCTTCAAAATCAGCTCTAAGGTGATTCTTCCACAATGACTCAAGCTTCTAAAAATGAGGTCTGCTTAACTTGCTCTGCCTAGAAAAGGACCATATTAACCTCAGTAATAGTCAAAATAGAGAATCTCACACAACTGAGCACTCATGAGACCCTTGGGATCAAGTATCTCCTGTATAGACTCTCTTCATTCCTAAAACCAGAATCTGGCCCAGAATCTGGTCCTCAAAGACGATTACTTCAAAAGTTTTGAATAATGTTGAACCCAAAGCACTCAGATGTACTGTACCTCTTGAACAAAACAAATAAAATTTTACCAAAAACACCTATGTCTGCTTCAGAGTAATAGTACACACAAAACCATCAATTATGGAGTAATTCTCTTCCTTGACCCTCTATCAAAGTCAGGCAGTTTGCACATTCCTTACATTCTCAGAAGCAAGATAAAATATCCCTCAACAAAAACTTGGAATACCTAAAAATACACTGCAATCAAATAATCAACTGTAAATAGTGGGAACTGGAACAACTTTTAAACTGCACTGCAACTCAAAGTAATCTTAAAACATTCTGATTTTGCTTCAAAGAAATGCCAATGTTTATTTTCCTGACCTTTGCAACATTCTCAAATGGAAAAATAAGAAATTTTAAAATTAAAAACCCCAAAACTGCATTTCTCTGAGAAACCTTCAGTTTTTTACATAGTCCTATAATCGAAAAATCGAACAATTCTTCTCCCATCTCAGATTTAGAAGACAAAATTCCAACTCCAATGACCAATGAATAATTATATTAGAACTAGTTTAAAAAAGAGTAATATCAATTTCTCTCTTCAGCAATCTTGCTCCTAAAAAAATATTAATCAAAACTTGATTATGATCCAAGGGTTAGAAATGCTGACAAAGAACAGATTTGGGGGAAATAAATCAGGAAGTTCACAAGAAAAGAACCACAGGGCAGTAAACATTATTAGCCAGACCCATCAGTATGACAATCCCCAAAACTGTACAGGTAGAAAAGACTACCTGAATGATAGCAAATTGATTTTAACCAGGCAAAAATTAAATCATCATATTTTTAGCTAAGTAAGCACAAAAATTTCCCAATGAGGTATTATTTCCTAAATGCACCAAGAAGTCACAGAATCCGAAGCAGCAGGCCAGCAGCTTTGTATCTAGAGAGTGCTGTTGTTATTTTTTTAGTCATTGAGTTCTGTCCGACTCTTTGCAACCCCATGGACTGTAGCCCACCAGCCTCCTCTGTCCATGGGATTCTCCAGGCAAGAATGCTGGAGTGGGTTGCCATTTTCTTCTCCAGGGTATCTTCCTGAGCCAGGGATTGAACCCGTGTCTCTTGCATCTCCTGCACTAGGAGGCGGATTCTTTACTGCTAAGCCACCTGGGAAACCCCTAGAGAATGTTAGATAAAAACACAGAGCTTTTTACACCATGAATGTTTATACCATGACTTTTTTACACCAGAATTTCCATTTAAACTTATTATAGAGAGTAAACGAAAAATAAATGTATCTGTAATACATTTCTGTTAGGTCACATTTCCTGGGGAAAATTCACTGCACCTCCAACCAAATCAACCAGAATGAGGCATCTGAATCATCAAAGTTTTTGAAAGTCTCCATTACCTTTGAAAACCGAGCATTTATCCATTTGGTAAAGGTTTTCTTCTGCACATCATTGTGTTCATCTGTGGGAGGGAAAAGTAGAGAGAAGGGAAAATATTAGAGTTTATAGTTTTACTTAGGTGCTAAATAAGATTATCTCCATCCTGGGGAGTTTTACACTGTCTATTAGTAGAGTTCCCGAGGCACAATGATCCACAGTTAATGAAGAAGGGGTGACTGATGAGTTTGGTATGTATGGAGTCTGCTAACAAATACCCATAGCAGAGGGAGGCCCAGACACCTTTCCAGAGAAGCTGGCTTTCTCACCCCACATCTCAGCATATTGCCACCAACCATTAAATCCACGTTCATGAGAAAAGAATCAAAACCTTGCTTTCAAAGTATTATATACATATACACATAGACTTTCTGTTGCATTTTGTTTAAATACAGTTTCAGCATGACAAAAATGTTATAGCGTGTTCAAGACAAAAAGTGGAAGTTCTCTTTTAAAAAAAACTAAGAAACTCATGATTCCCCCCTTTTCATACAATTCCTATAGAACAAAAACTACTATGAAGTTTATAGCTAATTCTGTAACCCGTTTTCCTGTATTAAGACTGACATGACAAAGTTTTAACGATCTTATCTTTGAAAGCAATCTACACCCACCACTGGGCACATAGCCTGAGAAAATCATAACTGAAAAAGATACCTGTACCTCAGTGTTCATTGCAGCACTATTTACAACAGCGAGGACAAGGAAACAACCTAGATGTCCACAGATGGATGAATGGATAAAAAAGTTGTGGTACATATATATACAGTGGAATATTACTCAGCCATAAAAAGGAACGCAACTGAGTTGGTGCCAATGAGGTGGATGAACTTAGAGCCTACTAGACGGAGTGGAGTAAGTCAGAAAGAGAAAGACAAACATCATATGTTAACACACATATATGGAATCCAGAAAAATGGTACTGATGAACCATTGCAGGGCAGCAATGGAGATGCAGACGTAGAGAACAGGCTTGTGGACACAGGGTGGGAAGAATCGAGAGAGTGGCATTAAAATATATACATTACCATACGAAAAACAGATAGCCAGTGGAAACTTACACAGGGAGCTTAAATCCTACGCTCTGTGACAACCCAGAGGGGTGGGAGGGGATGGGAGATGGGAAGGGGGTTTAAGAGGGAGGGGACACACATATACCTATGGCTGATTCATGCTGATATATGGCAGAAACCAACACAATATTGTAAAGCAATTATCCTCCAATTAAAAATAAACAACCTCCCTAAAAAAAAAAGGAATCTACACATTTTACAAGCAGAGAAATCACAGCAGTTTATTTATTTATTTTTTTTAATGACTAACTTTGGCTTGAATTACAAATTCATTTTTCAGGTCAAACAAAAAAAAATTGACCTTAAAAAATCTAAAGCATCCTGAACTTCTTGAAGATGGGCAAAGTGATCTAGTTAGGTATAAGGAAGTCATGTAAAATGTGAGTTAATAACGCAAGGCCCTGTGAGGGCTGGTGGATACAAGTGGAAATACTTGGCAAAGAACGGGCATTGAGCTCTTTGCTGTTATTCTACTTATAATTATTATTATAGCATATGTGTGAAAAGACAAAAATATCCATGTTACCCTTTCTGTTACTTCTAATCATACCCTCTTCAATTGTTCCTCAATTATCTGTTAAAATGAGCAACAGTCATTGTTGGCATAAATCCTACCAAGGAGCATGTTAACCATCTCTGAGTTGTTCTAAAAGCTGTGTAGGGAGTATTTGGAATAATGCAGAAAGCTTGTGGTACTATCTGACCCACCCTCCAAACACACACACCTTTTTCCACTACTGTCCATGTAAGGAATATTTGGAACAATGCAGAAAGTTTGTGGTACTATCTGAACACACACACACACCTTGTTCCATTACTGTCCATTCTGCCAGGCTGCTTCCCACATGAGAACAGTAAAATAGTAACAGAGAAGGCTCAAGTGCACTCTGCCCTCAATGCATCAATTTCAAAAGAACTGCCTTCAACCCAGACCTCCTCACTCATCTCTAATAGCATAATTACAAGTTGAACCACAACTTCACCAAGTTAGTGGTATCTTTGGGCTTTATTCTGCTCTGGAAAGAGAGCTTGTAATTAAAAGGTCACTCCTGGAATAAATATAGCAACAGTTTCAGAAAAGAGTGCCCTTCTACAGATCCATAAAGGTAACTGGAGACTGACTCTGAAACGCAAAGAGGGCAATGGATGAAAAAACTTCTAAGAAACTGCGTGTTGTCAACTGAGCTAAGACTTAGCCTTTCACAAAGGACAACACAGTCAGCATCAGCCTCAATTTCAGGCTTTCTACCATCTGATCAATGCCACATATGAGCCATTTATTAACCAAGAGGACCTGCTGACACACTCTGAATGTCCCAGCCTTGACCGTCACATCGAAGAGAGACAGAGCTGAGAGTACACACAGTATGTAAGGCAAGAGGAAGACACATCAGCCTACACAGTGCTATACCAGCCCACTAATATGAATTTAATCTTAAATATCAGTGTTCAGAGTACTTGGCAAATCCAATTATTTTGCTATGAACAAAAATATATATAATGGTCATAACTATTACATTTTCTCAGTTCCATAAAATTCACTGAATTTAATAATTTTTACCAAATTATTGGGAATTTGGGAAATTCTGAGAAGCAAGTTTTATTTCACATTTTATTTCTGTTTTATTTTTCTACATTTCTACATTTTTTAACCTCTTTGCTGAGCATTTAACCTTCTTACTTTCAAAAAACATGTTAAAATAGCTAATAAATACTATATGGGTCCCTCTCCAGAGATAATGTAAACAAAGAAATGAGTACCTATCACCTTATCAAATGATGATTGTGCAGTACTAAGTCATTACAGTCATGTCTGAGTCTTTGCAACCCCATGGACTATAGCTCACCAGGCTCCTCTGTCCATGTGATTCTCCAGGCAAGAGTACTGAAATGGGTTGCCATGCCCTCCTCCAGGGGATCTTCCCGACCCAGGAATCAAACCCTCATCTCCTGAGTCTCCTCCATTGGCAGGCAGGTTCTTTATCACTAGTGCCACCTGGGGAGTCCCCAGATGATAACTAAGAACCTTCAACTGTATCACATATAGAATGAGATCAACTATTTAAAATAGGTTCCCATCATACAGAGATGTTTGTAAAAATTAGAAGTTAATGTTTCTATAATAGTCTTTATCTTTGGTTCAAATAAAAGTCTGAATATGTGCCTAATTAAGTAAATGATATGAAATGAAGTTATTGTTGTTTAGTTGTGAAGTCATGTCCGATTCTTTTGCGACCCCATGGATTACAGCCCGCCAGGTTCCTCTGTTCATGGGATTTCCCAGGCAAGAGTAGTGGAATGGGCTACCACTTCCTTCTCCAGGCTATCTTTCCAACCCAGGGATCAAACCCACGTCTCCTGCATTGGCAGGCAGGATCTTCACCCCTGAGCCATCGGAAATAAAGTGGTGCCTTGTAAAAGATAAAACGTCTTGCATTCAAACTTTTTAAAAATACTCCAAACTTTATAAACACTCTTCTTTATTCATTTTCCTGATACAGTTAAAAGGGAAAAGAGGGATTACATCTCAATAAGCCTTGATTTCACATTTCCCTTCTCACACACACACACAAACACACACACAAACCTCTTGTTTTCTATCAGATATGAATTCAGTAAAGGAATAGGAATTAGCCTGCAGTTTTTCAATTATGAGATTTTTTTTTAATGTAAAAAATTTGGAACACTTACTTACTAGTATAGAACTGCCCTCCACACCACAAAAAATTAAGCTAACAACCTTGGCCCAAGTCAGTGTTTCAGGGAGACAGAAATTTGCTGGCAAAGTTGGGAGCATGACAACTAAAATCCTAAATCACACTATTACGATCAGCCATTTTGATCATATATATAGAAATTTATACCAAATTTCAAATCTCAAATTTGTTCAACTCTCCATTACAAGTAGTTATTTTAATGTTTCCAAAATAAAAATGAGTAAGCAAACAATACAAATTTACAGATAACTGGATTATTTATATGTGTATTAAGTGAGTATAATTTACATGCTAAATTTATTCTTTCAGGTTTCCAAACAAGTGTTTTCTTTATATTTGTTTTAGAAAAAACATCTAACTTTTGAAAGCCTTTCTTGGCTTAGTAAATCTTACCCATTAATGACCTTTCTCCATTAGGGGGACAAACACGGGACTGAATTAGGAGAAGAAAAATGTGTTAAATCCCTTAAGGCTGATTTTCCAAATTCTTCCTCTAAATATTTTGCTCTTCTTAAAATGCTTTTGACAAGCTCACACAGATCCAAGGGCTGCTGCCCAGTCTGGAATTTTATTTTTGTGATGGGTAAGAGAAGTGAAGCAAGAAACATCAACAAAACCGCCTGATAAATCTTCCAGGAAACTAGCTTAAATTTTTTTCTCACTTCACCAGCTCAAGGGCACATCAAAAATTCTTTTAGCAGAACCTAGAAACAAATCTCAATATAAGTCTTAATCTATAATGTTTCTGTAAAAAAATAATAATAATCCAACACTACAACCATAAAACAAAATCCTGTATTTCCATAGGTCTATCTACATGTATATAATATGAACACAAACTTAGGATAATTGCTGTACAATATTACGTGGTTTCTTCCTTCACCCCGCTGGTCCACAAGTCTGTTCCCTATGTCTTTGTTTTCATGCTGACCTGCAAATACATTCATCAGTACCATCTTTCTAGATTCCACATAAATGCGTTAACATATATTTGTCTTTCTGGCTTACTTCACTCTGTATAATAGGCTCTAGGTGCATCCACCTCATGAGAACTGACTCAAATGTGTTCCTTTTTATGGCTGAGTAATATTCCATTTTACAACATTTACAACATTTACAACAGCGTCTCTATTGACTCATCTGTTGGCAGACATCTAGGTTGCTTTCATGTCCTAGCTATTGAAAATAGTGCTGAGATGAACACTGGGGTACCAGTGTCTTTTTCAGTTATGGTT